GTAATCAAGTGTATAATTGCATCAGTCTATATAGGCCCTGGACTACAACGCTAATCTTAACTACTTATTGATTCTATTCCATGTACTGAAAACAATATTTAACAGATTCATTATCTATTTATCATATTTATTTGTATATAACACCAAAATCACAGTTATCCCTAAGAGCATAGAAATTGTTTCGTAAAATAGATTGATTTTACTTAGACAAATCATCCCCTCAGAAGCGTTTAGTCCATTGCTCGCGGTTCGTGAACTTGTTTGCACGAGAAGTAACATTCTTCTCTTAATTAACAGGAAACAATTTTATCTATCTCTAATACATGCATTAATCTCATAAATATGAACTGTAGGACTTCATAAAATATGTTATCTTAAATAAGCCCTATTCTATTTAAATCTGATTTTTAAAACGATCAAGTTCGACTTGTTAGGCAGAGCAAAGAGTTATAATTGGTCAATAATCTGGGTGCTGATTGGCTACTCCATGTGCTGTTTTGAACATCAGGCAAACTAGGGACCATCTTCACCAGATTACCCCATCCATGATCATTTTCATTTGATTCTTTCTGCTTGATATAAACCCCTACAGTAAAATCCCTCTTATTCATCAGTGCATATTCTGTGATCTTATTCGGAATCAGATAAATTCTTTGCGGAGAAGAATATCTCCCTGATTAAGCAAGACTTTCCCAAAGCTTTTTGTTTCTATTTCTATTCTCTATTTTACACTTCCTTAAGCCAATATTTCATCTCCAGTATTTTTCAACGATCGAATAGCATTCGTATTCCTATATCATATTTTAGAACTTTTACATAAGAAAGTTCTATGTGATATGAATAGTTTTCTAAAGACACCTAATACACAGTTTCACTTAACTTCTAACAGTGAGATGCATTTTAATGATTGATTTTGGTCTCTTCTATAAACGAGTGCTATTACCCTTGTTATGACCTTATTGCCAGCAGATTGGCCATTCAACGTGGAGAGTAGCAGGCATGAATGACCAATCACAGAATGACTGCTTATCCTGCCCTGCCAAATTCTATCTAAATCTTGAGCCAAAGCCTGAGATTCCCAGTGAGTTTGGAGACAATACAAGAGATCCCGCATTGCTCTCGTTTTCCTGTGGCTTTACCTGTCCAAAATCGAATTCCATACCTAATAACTCAAGATCGGAAATCACAGCCTATACAACTCAGTATGCTAGCCAAAATGATGGCCAATTTCCCCCCAAGGATTTCAGTGCCAATGCAACACTAGCCAATTGTGGAAACGGTCATCTACCAGTCCAACATCCTCCCAATGACAACGGCTCAGTCTGTTTTCAGCACATGCGATTGGCGCTTTTCACAGATAATGAGGATCTAATCCAGGCTAATAGTGATTCCCTACTTGTGCAAGATGAGTTTTTTACTTGTGATGAGCAAGTCGTTGATATATCGATTCAAACTCCATGTCTGGAAGGTAGAAGTCTCGGATTTTCCTCTTCGAATCGTCCAGTTCCCTCTCAAAGCGGTCCATCAAACTGCCCCTCAGTGTTCCATAAATTATCCACGGATACAGAACTAGACAGCAACAGCTCAATAACTTGGAGTACAGCAACCTCTAATGCGTTAGATGATAATCTGACGGAGTCCTTCAGTTCACACTCATCCTTTAATCCGGCTTCAGTAAAGCTCAACGACTCTAGAGGCACCAGAGGATTCGTGAGAGACTCTTTAGACTCACTGTTTTTTGACGCATCTTCCCTTGTCCACCATCCCTCACCTTCCATTGGGACAGCCAACTCGCAGCTGGTCTCGAATGGACACACGAGAAAGGATATAAAAGTGGAAGGAGATAGGTTTTATGATGCGGAAACTAATGGGCTAGTGAGGGATACAGATTATAATTTAGAAGAATTTCCAAAAATGGCAGAAGCTGGAGATGATGAATCTTGGAGAAACTGCCTACAGAGCGTAGGCCCGTTATCCAAGACTATCGATAATGAAATCCTTGATCCTGTCTTTGGGAAAAGTATAGGAGATCACCTAAAAGTCTACAAGCCACCGACTAGGAAACTGGGTCAGCTAGAGGTTTCCAATACCGAACGTAGAGATAAACAACCAGAAAATCAACTTGGCATCTTAACGGCCGGTAATAGCCTTTCAGTGACGGTGAGCCTTCCTGACAATGACAAATTTGATGTAGAAAAACTAAGCAATATGGTCAGTACGGAAAATTCTCCGATCGCCGATTTCGAACAAGGAGGTCGGTCCATAAATTTTCTCTCTGCCTACGCGTCAGAAGATGAAAACAAACAACGTTACCATGCAAATGCAACACAGCATCACTCAGCAGATACTCGCCTAGCAAAAGCGGGTTCATATCTCGACTTGCCAGAGTACAGAGCCGGACGTAGAGATTCCGTGCACTGCACTGAAGGCAGATGGATTAGTGATCTCAATCTCTATACGCCCGGTCAGGATAAAGTTCTAACGAAAAATAAGGATGATTGTCGAAATATAGTTTTGCCTTTATCTTTCAAGTGCAATTCAATAGCAGCATATCAGTATCCAGGTTGTTCCAGATCATCTGGACTTGTGGGACATGGCGAAGCAAACAATATCAAGCCTGATCTTGATGCACTTAAGTGCGCCTTGAGAGAAAACCACCTTAAGGCCTTCAACCAAACTGTGTCTGACCCTACCAAAAATGTCGGCACAGGCCACATGCTGCTAAAACCCTTACCAACTTGTCAATATTCAGCAAACTATGCGAATCATGCTCACTGTCCATCATGTCTGTACCCATACTTTGTATACAATGGCGTACGTAAAGGCCCTAATCAAAATTACCTTTATCAACAGAGTAGCCACGAAGGGTTGGATGCTGAAATGGATTCTAATAGATTGCAATCTTTTCGGCCAATTTTACAGACAAATGAATACAATTTATACCGAGAGTCAGTAGTCGATCAGTCCAATCTGGAATCAGTACAAGGAGCACGCATGCCCTTCTACCAAGTAGTCCAGAATGCCGGACGATCAGCTGGTCTTCTGGGGTCAGAAGGATATTGCTACCATGGAGACCTGATTAGTGGTCCCTGCAGTGCACCTGGAAATACTCAAAGATCTATAGGCTCAAGTATCAAATATGGAAGTGATTATCTCATCTCTCCCAGCAGCATCGACCCTGCAGCTCCTGTAGGCGCCTGGGCGTTAGCCTGGGCAGCTGGCGTTCATGGAAGAACTACTCGACATGATACTAGCACCTTATCTTCGGGGCGGTCCGGCACAGCGATCTCGCCAACAGTGACCGCGGCCAACCTTCCAGGCAGCAGTTTTCTTATGGGTCAAAGGTTTTCAGCCAAAAAAACTCAGATAACCAACAGTTGTGGTGCATCACAAGCTGTTGTATCAGGATCAATAGCCGGTGGCAAGACTAAAGGAATCATAGACAACAGCATTACACGACCTTATCGACACGGCATTAAGTCGACTTTAGAAGAAGAAATGTCGCTTGCTTTTTACGACAAGCTAGGTTAGTTTCCTCAATTCACATTTTATTTATTTGAGTAAGTAGCTACAATGTTTTTAATTTTTATGGATAGAATGAGTTTATAATAAGTCTATTCTCTCGTCTATTCACAAGGTGCATTATACTATAACATAAATAGCAGTCTGAAATACAAAAATAAAATACAAATAACCTAGACAACAATAATGGTAATTAAAATAGGTCAAAGTAAATAAACTTAAACAGGTTATTGATACTTTTCAAAATAAATTTTACTCTCAAAACCCAGTACTATTCCATACGTGACCTTGTTGAAAGTTATGGAATGCATTCATTTAGTGGGTATTTTAATCGAGCTTATAAGAAGTGGGTATAATGAAAATCGGAAAATTATTCAGGTAAAAACTGTATATACCTTTACCAAATTGAATAAAATTCTTTTACATCGCATTATTAAAAAATTGTATTAAGACTTCTATAATAGTAGTCAGTCCACCTATCGGTCATGAAATGTAAATAACTCTACTAGATTTAGAAATAAATACATAAATAATAAATAACATGGTTGGTTATAGTCATAATTACTACTAATATATTATGCATCCAACTCAAGCTAACTTTTGTAACTGTTTGCTAAAAAGCATATATTTGCTCGCAATTCGAAGGTGAACGGATGAATATGATTATGGGTTCATTCCCAATTATGCTTTAATCATTGCTTTTTGGCCTGACTCAAAATGATACTGCTTAAGTACCTCCTGGAATGTCAAAACCTGGTTAACTTTGATTAAAAAATTACTTAAGCTTTGTGATTTGCTGTTTGAGCCTCTGCGTGATGTTAGGAGTCTAAAAAGGGCATGTTTGGTATGTTAAACTGAGATAATAAAAAAATTATCTATTTTTAAAACTAAGATCAACCCTTTTTCACTCAAATAGATAAGATCGAAATTGATCTTTTATTTGGTCTCTCTCTGTAGCCGTTTTATGCCATTTATTAAGAGAATGATTTAAGTCAGCCAAGTGATCAATCTTGTAGCCTTTGAATAAAAAACTTAGTTTCCTGGGCAATGATCAAAGTAATGGACACAAATTTCAGTCATTCGTTTGTACATAAATTGATTAAAATATTTGCTTCGTTCTCAAAAGTGATTGCATAAATATATGTTTTAAAGTCCCGTTTAATTTGACCAAAACAGGCTTCATCAAAGAGAGTTTTTGCCGAGAGATTAAGTCGGCACTTTGATTTCTAGTTGAGCATCTACAAATAATAAGAGAATAAAATATTAAGGGATAGGATAACTTCGCTTGAAAATAAGACGATACATATTTCTACCTCGGAAAAAACTGAAGGCGGACACTATTTTTGATTTTAGCCAGTTTATTAAAACTTATTTTGAGGATAATTCTAAAGTTGTCAGACAATCTTTTTTATTCTTGTCTATAAATAGCTAACGTATATACTACGATGTAGCAGTTAAATGAGAATTAAGAGGGATTTAGTTAAGAAGATCTTCAATTAATAGTATACTTTTAGATATTAAGATCAACATGGTGTGGTAATTTGTCTGGTTGCAGTGTACATTTGCTTTATAGTGTTGATTATTATTCGCTTTCGCAACTAGTTTGTTGTGGCAGAGAGACGTTGTGGAACGCAGCTAGTAATTATGATGATTTTCGGAATCATGACTATTGATTTCGATAAATTTCTAGACTTCTCGTCCGCATCATAGCCGGCAACGTCAATAATATGTATCATCCTTAGCATAGAGTTACAACTACCACAACGGTTAAAAATAACATTGTCCCTCATCTGCCACTTTGGTGAGTTGTTAATAGGCTTCAAATCTGGAGCCTATCAGTAATAATGCCGACTACCTTGCTGGCACAATGTCTGAGAATGTAGCAAATAAATGATCCTATGCTGGAAAGCATCATGAATATTATAGCAGCGGACGCGATAGTAGATATGTTTTAAAAGTTCTCTATATCACTCCGAACAAGGTGCTAAAACAAGATCAAACCAAAACAATAATTTATTCTGATGAATTTAATGATAACTTATCTGAATTGGATTAATTATAATATTCTTACATTTCTT